AAAAAAAAAAAAAAAAAAAAAAAAGAAATTTTCCTTTTCTCTTGTAAAAGTGAAATCGATTTTATTCTTTACCATTAAAATCGAGTTTCGCGAGAACTGGAGCGCTACTGGCTAATGCACCCTGAATCAGATGAGGATACTTAAGTCTAGCCCAAGAGGCCATGTTTCCAGCGTAAGATCCGCCAAAAACAATTACGGTACTATTTCGCCGAATTTCATCCTTCTTTTTCGTTTTGATAAAATACGCTAGATCAGCAAGTGCTTGATCGACGCTTAGATACTGCAAGTTTCTCGAACTAGTGTCGCTATATTAATAGTTTAAAAAATAAAAATTAGTAAAGTATGAAGAAATAAATATCGTTCACTTGGTATAGAACGAAAAATCAAAATGTCAATTCGAGATTCACAATTTGAAGCTTATAATATTTATAATATTTTGTTAATAAAAAGTAAAACTATGACTTTTTTTTTCTATACCAATAATAATTGCAAATTTTTGTTTGATTCTCGCAGCAAATGTATATTATTTTTGTGAATAATTTTTGTGAAAAAACTCATACTTGGTCGGTTTACTTTTGCCATAATAACGATGCTCGGTGTAATACATGCTCGCGTTGTATTTAGATGCAAGCTCGTACATTAAACCAGCCTGTAAGAAGCCCTTAGATATTGCCCATTCTCCTCCGATCATGATCAAAATTGGCCCATTTTCTTTGAAAAATCTTGAATTTTCAAGATAACGCTGTCGAAACAAGACACGCGTAAGATCGTTTGTTTTTCAAAATCGTAATTTCATTCTATTTACGGTATACCATCGACCAAGTACGGTTGTCTCGCGGATTGAAATGATCTAAGGGCTGCTGGATCCATGCTTCGGTAATATTTTCCTGAATCGCTTTATTGAGAGATTGCGGTTCTTCCAAACCGTGAAAATGAAATCCGTGAAGACCGACACCATGACCGAGATGATAAATACAACACAATAAAAATAGGAAACTTAAAAAATTCATATTCTATTGAAATCTATTTATTTATTAACGGCGGAACAATTCATGAAACACTGTTGAATAAAATGTTCCATCCGATTATTTTATTGCTCGATATCGAGATAATTAGTTCCTCTCAAAGATTTTAAAATTAAATTGGAAAAATTTATCTGATAAGACATTGTCTTATTGTCTGATTGAAGACAAGAAGTATATACAATAGGTCCATCAAAAAAAAAAAAATATCGAATTATAAACAAGGACAGGTACTTGAAAGATAATAACTATCACTTAAATGCGTCTATGTAACATGATCAATATTTCACCAATGAAAATTATCTTGAAAATTCTATGATAAAAGTTGATTTTTGAGAAGGAGAGAAGAGAGAGGAATTAAATATCAGTTTTGTATCAGATATAATACCTAAAATAGTTTTATTTTCAATAGCAATGCTTAACAATTAAATTTGTAAAAAGAATAAACTGCGATAGGTATGAAACATTTTATTGTTAAATATTTTACGAAAACCGTTACGAGAACTAAAATAATATTATAATAATTATGGATATATCGATTTTGTTCTATATCAGTTTCATTCGTTAAAACCGACATATCCATAATAATTATAACATCTCTTTGGTTCTTAAAAATAATTTTAATCGATAGAATCAATATATAATACATATTTATTTTCGAGATCGTTTTAATTTTTGTCTAGAACTCGATCTACGATGTTTTCTAGGTATTTCATCGTCATCGGAAACTCTATCTTTATCAGATTGCTCGTATTTATCGCGCGTCGATTTTTGTCGAGAATCTCTTTCATCGGAATGATGGTGACGTTTTTCAATGGTTTTCGAACGGTGTTCTATCTCCGGTTCCGGAGACTCAGACCATCTCCAATTTTTACCATTCTCTACATCGCTACCATCTTCCCATTTTGATTTATTCCTAAAAAAAAAATTAAAGATTAATAACATATCAATACATATTATATTATAATATATTAAGATATATAATATACATTAAATACAATAAATAAAATAATAATATGATAGTATGATAAATAATAATAACAAATCCTTAATACCTATGTTCGATTTTTTTATTGCTTGTAATGTCTTGAGAGGATGAAGACAATTGTTTTGCCCATCTCGGTGGGCTTTTAATATCGTATTCGTCATGAGGATTTTTAAAAGTGTGCAAAAAATTGCAAGCCCTTCCTTTAGGACATTTCGACATTCCACACACAGCGCTCCTCCATGATTTCAAATTAACAAACTCACAATTGAGTTGTCGACCAGCATACCATCGACCTTTTAATCTTCTTAAAGCTCTGGCAGCTTCTCTTTCGGTGTAATATTCAACATATAAGTTTCCTCGTAAATGCACTTCTGTATTACAACAATATTTTAAAGTCTTTATCCTTCCAAATGATTCCAATTCAGGAACTACATCTTTGTAAAATTCACGAAAATGCTGTCGTGTTTCTGAACTTTCAAATTCGAGTGCAATATCCGTATCGTATTCCGCGCAATTTTTCTCCAAGGAAAAATGTGTATAAAAACTAGGTACTAATATCACTTTGCTCAAGCATACCCTACGATGATTTCTTGAGCAAGTATCACCATACCTATAAATATGTTTTTGACTTTACAAATACGATACTTAAAAAAGATTATATAATTATATTATATACTTAAAGAAAAAAATGACTTGTATATTATTTACCTGCAAGCACCAGTCTTTGTAAAAAAGGGACAAAGCTCTTTACCAGGTTGACTATCGATAACTTCCCGCAAGGCTTCCGGAGTCTTGATCCCATTATCGATATAGTCGTCGATTTCTTTTAATAGCTGTTCCCTTTGTCTAATCTCCTCTTCTCTTCTACGTTTTTCTTCTTCCTGTTTTTTGCGAATTGCTTCCTGTTTCGCTTCGAATTCTTGACGTATTTTCGCTTCCTGTTCTAGTTGTAACTGTCGAGCTTTTTGTTTTTTCTCTTGTAGAATTTTCCATTCTTCTTGTGCTTTTACCTAAGAATATTAAATATAATATAAAACACTGTGGATACAGTTTATTGTTAAAGTAAGTTTGATTGTTTAGTTTATAGAAACCATGTAGTAACTAGCAGGCTTTGGTATCCACATTTTAACATTATTTTCAGGGTTATAGCAAAATTCTTGTGAAACAGTGATACATTATTCGATGATGATTAATCGAACGTATGCTATCGATCGTGAAAACAAAGTAATTTCGATAACATGACAACATACGCGATGTATTAATCAATTGGTTAATAATTTTTTTGTATTGAAATAAAAAAGAAAGAAAAGAAAAATGAAGTTTCCAGTTGCAAAAGAAAATTTCGTAAATATCTTTTGAGTATTTTATAAACTGACCTCTTCTTCTAACCATTGTTTTTCCCGTTGATCGTGCTCTTCCTTTTCTCGAGCTTCTTTTTCCCTCTCCTCAATTTCACTCTGTTCTAACCACTTTAAATATTCCGCGCTTTTTACAAGTGCTGCCCTCAGTTGTTCCTCGTTCGCTTCACGTTCAGCTGCCGCTTTACGACGCAGACGTCTTCGATGCTCTCTTTTCGCTATTTTACGCCACTCCTTATGACTTTTTTTCGTCAAATGACTCCCTTCCATTACCATACATTTTTCAAGAAAATATTTGTGTTATCTCCGATAATATCATAGTATCACGAATTTTTGACACAAGTGAAACGTATCTGGTAGTCGATACCAATAAAGAAATGGCGGACCACACGTGCACGTCGCTGTGCTATCACTGAAACAAAAAGCTTTTAATTCGGATTATTCTTAAATTTTTAAATTATTTATGGAATTATATAAAATAATATTATTATATGAAATTATATAAAATAAATAAATACATTTAATAAAATAAAATATATTATTATTATTAATATTATTAAATTATTGAATGAGAAATAAGAAATAAATAATTAATAAAACAGTTTCTAAAATTCTAAGAAAAAATGTAATATTTATAGAAATAATTTCTGAGAAACTTACTCAAAAATGATTTATTGTTTAAAAAAATTCTTTTTATATAATTCATTGTATCCATTAAATACATAATATATGTGTATTTAACTAGAACAGTTTAATGCAAAACAAAAATTACTACTTAACACAAAATTGTTACCAACTTAAAAAATTTTCCAGAGACTTCTTATTCTAGAGATTTTTATTTTAATATGATAGTCATACTGATTGCTTTAAACGCGGAACTGGTTGGAAATTTAATGTAAAGTGCAGGTTAAGTGTAAGCAAACAAATTACAAATAATGTTTATTTATTCTTATTCTATTTATTTTTTATTTGCTCACATTGTAATAAAAAAAATTGTGCAAACGAATATTTTATATGTAAAAAAGTTAAGTGTTAATTAATTTTCAAGAAATAATTCAATTAAAAATGTTAAAATTAATATTGATTGATAATAAATATTAATATTAAAATTAAGAATCAAGTTAAAAACTTTCAAATTGTATTTTTTGAAATATAAATTTATTAATATAACAAAATAAAAATAAATTAAAAAAATGATGAATAAGATAATCATATTCTTGTTACATATTCGTAATATCGTAAAAAATTTTTCTACTATATTACGTATTACGTATTATATTACGTATTATTAAGAATTATACAAATAATTAGTGTTACGTTTTTACTTTGTTATATTTCATAATTTTTACATTAGAAATTTATGAAATTATGACAAAAATTGTGATATATGTATTTCTTAAATGCAAAAATATATTGATAATAAAAATACATTTCACAATATATACAAGTTTTATATTATATTTCATATTTTTTTTATTGTATACTTATATTAAGTAAGATAATATTTGAATAGATGAATAATATTTTTTATTTGACAGTACAATAAATCTATAATAATTAATTTATTATAATTTTGAATATTTTGTTCAATATGATTAATTAATTAAAAATAAATGTGTTATTAATGATATAATTTATTTGTGATGACGATTTTTATATTGGATCCAAGTATTACAGGTTGCTATTGCTACGCTCCTGTCGAAAATACCGTTATATTCGACAGAGCGTTGAACTACAAATGATTCGAACCAGTATAGTGAAGACATTGCGATATTTTTTAAAACGGTACTGACAAATACAATCGTATTTTTGTAGTTTTACAAAAAAAATAATCATATTGAGTTAATTAGTTACAAACATAGTGATACATAAAAAATTGTTATTATTGAGTGTAAGAATAATGAAAAACCGACGATGATAACGATAGCTTGCAAATGGTATAAACGAAGTTAGTATATGTAGTGCAATTGTGAGACGACAGTGTTTCTTACTTCGATAATGCGCATTTAACTATTTTTAATTAACTGTAACGAACTAGAAAACGAAACAAAAATAGCAAATAAATTTGTGACATATCGACTTTTAAAAGAAAATGTATAATACAATGCGCGATATATAATTAAATTTCACAATGAAAGAAATAAAAATGGAATTAAAAAATGGACATTTCATGGAGAAGAATAAAAAATCAACAAAGAAACAAAAATCGACATTTTGGGCCTATGTACTGTGGTTAATCGGTGGTTTAGTTGGCGCGCATCACATATACTTGGAAAGAGATGCACAGGCTTTTGTATATTTTAGCACTTTTGGTGGATACTTTGGTATCGGATGGCTTCGAGACATCTATAGAATTCCTTCATATGTGCGCGATATAAACGAGGATCCCAGTTTTATAAATGATTTTAAACAAAAAGTTAGAAATAATCGTAAGGTATATGGAAATTGATAAGTAATCGATCTTAATTTGAATAAGTATGTTTAGAAAAAGTAATCTAAGTTTGTAAAAAATAATCTAATGAATCGTACAATATTTCAACATACAAAAAGTTTTTTTTTTTGTATATTTGAGTATAAAAAATAAAAATTGATAACGTAAGCAAAATATAATGCAACATGTCATATTTGATTTCAGCCGCCATTCTCTACAGTGCGATTTGTTACTGAAAATGCTGTTGCATATTTATGGGCTGAAATATTTCGCAATGCCATTCCAGGAGACGAAATATATGGAATTAATTTTAGACATTTACTAATTTTAACGCCTTTAGTTGTTGCTTTAGGTAAAAATATATATATAAGATATATTATACATATTACGTAATTGTGTTTAATATATACATGTTATTTACGATTATTAACGATACGTTCGTTTTCCAAGTATAATTAGTTGATAAAATTTTTATCAAACTAAACTATATATCTACATTAAATTGTTACAAATACACATCAGCAATATGTTTATATAAAATGATGTAATTTATGAAAATAATTTAATTAATTTATAATATACATTATTATATTCATAGCTAATTAGATTTATAAAATATTCATTTCTTTAATTTTCATTCTTTTCCACTCAAAATATAATTCGTTATTTTACATTTATAATTGATTAGATTCATAAAATATATTTGTTTCCTTTATCCTCGTTTTCTTCTACAAAATGTTTCTTCATGATTCTAATAATTGTATTTATTCAGGTGTTTGGACGATCGGAAATATTGGCAGGGAACAAGGTTCCATATGGATTGCTCTTTGCTCGGCATATTTATTGTATCCAACGTTAACCTACATCGGAGATGACAACATGTGGGTATTTCTGATGGTCGTTGCTGCTAGTTTAAGTTTCGATACATTCAGCAAGCAATGGAGACTAAAGCCAAGGAAGAGAAAAAACATCATTCAAAGAATCTTTTATCTCGGTTTAGCTGCTGCACTTTACACATTTTTACTAGGATCATATCTATACTTTAATGCTGTTGTTACCGATAGCGAGGGCGAAGAGATCAAATTATCGGAAGCTATTCAACACTTTTTAACGTCTCCTATATGGCTTGATCTTAAGGTTTAATTTAATTATTTTAAATTGATATCATTAAGTCAATTGGATAAAGATTTTCTGAAACCTAAAATTTTATAGGCGAGTCTCGAAGCAACATGGAATCAAGCGAAACATCAAGGTTTCTGGGCAACATGGGCACAATTGATAGATCTTACGGATCCTCGAGGAGAAATAAACGCTTACAAGGTATATAATTTGAAATTTATTTTATATTTATACTTAAATTCCCTTTATATAGATTTTAGGTCTTTCCCAAACGGCCACGCAAGCCGAAGTGACGTCCCGTTGGAGAGCACTCTCGAGGGACAATCATCCGGACAAGATAAAGGGCACTGAAGAAGAAAGGAGACAAGCTCAAGAGAAATTCATGGAAATTCAGCAGGCATACGAGATTCTTTCAAAAGCAAAGAATCGGAGACAACGTCGAAATAGAAAATCGGATGAATCGTAATCAATAAATCTGTGCTCAGTAATTTCGAAATACACAGTATGATACGATGCGATTCATCAAAGTGCGGATCAATCAAAATTATTGAATAATCATTTTAACATACGATAAATTAATGATAAGCAAAGGCATTTTATTATATTAAGGATATGTTCCGTATCTCGTAAATATTTATAATAGATTTTCTTGAAAAGATATATTTTTTATTTTACAGTAATAAATAACAAACGAGGTACGGAGACAAATTGTTTTCATTCATCATACACAAATCTTCGTTGTGAAGCATTTGTTCTACCTCGTTATTCCGTATACTATAGCAAGATAGACTTTTATTTTTATTGAACGCATTATTGATTCATAAAATTTGGCACTGTTTGCGTTCGAACATTAAATATAAATGTTAATATGTATATGTAAAATTGAATGTATAAATATAAATATTATGATGTACTATTTAGGTATTCGATATGTTTTCGTATAAGTATATTATTAAGTACATCAAGTATTCGATTTTTATCTTGACAAAAATGATTATTTTCGACTTTTAACGGAGAAAAGATATTTTACAAACAAATTCAATATCATTTTTATATCGAGAAATTTATTTATAAATTTATTCGATGATCGTTGCGTGGTTAAAAAAACGTCAGTTTGTATTCCAATACGTTTATAAATTGAAAAATCGCGAGAGCGAATTTTCTCACCGCAATTTGACGGATGATTATTTAAAATTGTTTTAAAAATACTTTATCGATTCGATGGTTCATCATTACCTATTCTTATCGATTCTTTGGTATTCGTGATTTTATAGAAGTTCGTCTATCTGCGTATTTTCTCTGGTATAGTTTACTAAAATCGTAAACTACTAAAAATAAATTTCATCGTTTCACGCGTTTTAAACACCTACTAGCATCATTTACTTATATCAAATCTGAAGTTTAACGATTAATAACATACGAAAAGAAAAAATAATCCACGAAGACTGGTAATCCTTTTCTCTGTCGATTATATAAATAAGTGTATGACGTTAAAAAAATTTGCTGATGGAAACGAGATTGTTTGAGAATTCGTTTAACATCGATACTTTTTTAAAAAGAGCGAGATTTGCGTCGCTCGCTAGGAACTGTATTGATAAAAAGTGATTGAAATTGAATCGAAAGAGATCGAAAATTCTTAAAAATATTTTTTTTTCGAGAGAGAAACGTCGCGATTTTTCACGCTTGCGCGCGTTTATTGACAAATCGGCTCACGAATGCAAATTTACCAATTTATTTATTTTTCTTTTTTGACCGTGATGGTTTTCCTACCGTATTCTCGATTTTCTCTGTGAAATTTGACCCATATTTGT